CCAGTCTAGAGAGAGGGCAACAGAGAAGATTCTTTAGTAACCCAGACTTCCTTTCTCTTGGCAAACTCTTCATTTATAAACCTAGGTCATGTTGTCTACAATTTAATGTTTATGTTAATATATAAACTATGATAACATTCTCTTGATAATCAACTAATATATAAATAGCCAGGCACAAAAAGCAGTTCTTCATTTTTCTTTGTTCAGCCAATTCTTTCTCATAATATCACACATTGAAATCTAGAACTCAAAAGAACCCAAACCATCCTTCTCCATTTCCCGTTTCTCCTTAACCTGAATCTTCTCTCCTAGTCCTCCAGGCTGCCCTGATTTCTTCTCAAAGGTCACATTGGTTTTTTCCCTGAAACTTTAACATCCTTCTATCTCTAATTTCATACTTGTACAGTATCATATCAGACCTACTTCCCTTATATGTCTTTGCATCAGCTCTCCAGCCTCTCCAACTTCCCTTCAGTCCTTCTTGCCAGCAACCATGATTCACACCTAATAGCATTCTAATTTGTGTTTGTTTGCAAATTGTCTTAGTCCAGTCAGGCTGCTATGAGAAAATACCATAAACTGGATGGCCCACAAACAACAGGAATTTATTTCTCACAGCTCTGGAGCCTGGGAACTCCAATGTCAAGTTACCAGCAGACTTGGTGTCTGGTAAGGGCCTGCTTTCTGGTTCATAGACGGCAGCCTTTTCATTGTAACCTCACACTGCAAAATGGCATGGGGTTTCTCTCAGGCCTGTTTTATAAGGGCAAGCTAATCCCGTTTACAAGAGCTGTACTTCCATGACTTAGTCACTTTCCAAAGGCCCTATCTCCTAACACCATCACATTTGGGGTTAGGATTTCAACATATAAACTTCAGAGGAACAAAAACATTCAAGCCACATTTAATGTTCTAGATCAGTTCTTACAAGCACTTCAGTTTCAAATATAGCAATAATATTTCAAAGCCCAATTAGGCTACTGGGCATTAGATTTACATTCTTTCTAGCCCTAGGGCTAGATTCTTTGCAATCCTTATTTCATTTTTGAAAGTATATATTACAAAAGATAGCAGGGCATAATGTTAGAATAAAATAAGTTTAAATTGAGTAAATTTAAATTTGGGTAAAAAGAAATTTATTATCCTTATTTTTTTTTTCATTTTGATATGTACCAGTGGAAACTGTCAGGAAAATCCTTGGACAGGGAATCTCCATGGCTGTCTCTCTATACAGACAGTTTCTGTAACAGGGATAATTGATACTTGGAGAGTTCCTACTATGAACCAAGTGGTATAACTTTGTGTGTGCATATGAGACAGGTACTAGTATGCCATTCTACAGACAGCAAAACTAAGACAAAGGAATTTTGGAATTTTCTCAAGGACTCACAGTTAATAAATGGTGAAAGTGATATTTGAGCCCAGTTATTCAAGGTCCAGTGTTCTTGATTGCTAACCACACACACTGCTGCTACTGCTTTAGACTCTGTGGTATGAGTATGATTCTGTGCACAAAATAAACACACCAATAGGTACAATGATAACAGCAGCTTTGCCATAATATAGCACATCTATTGAACAGACTAATGGCCAGATATATGTCATTCCAAGAAGACTATTTCTATAAAGAGTATTTATAAATTGTAAAGTGCTATACAGATGAAAAACCAACTGTAGTTATTATAATCGACAATGCTAACTGGAATTCCATAAGTCAAGTTTGCCTAAGACCATCACAGCAGACTTACTAAATAAAACACTACCCATATCATTTCTAAGGGAGTCCCATATATGAAACTATTTTAAGCCAGCAATATTAACTTATCTTTAAGAGAGTTTTGTAGAAATCAGAGTGATTGAAAATTAACTCAATTCACTGCTTGCAATATTTCACTGTCTTACTCCTGCCTCTAAGATTATAGGGACTTCCCTAAACAAAGTGGTAGAAACTTGTTTTTTTTCTTTGAGGGAAACTTGTCACATCCCTGCTACCAGAAATTTGACTCTTTTCATCATTGCCTCTCTCCGCCCTAGAATCTTTTAGCCAGCTGCTACACTAGAAAGCATCTAACTGACAAATCCACATTTTTGTGCTTTGTTTTTCCAGAGCACGTTACTAACATACCAAGCCATAAGCAACAAGGGTACATATTTAGTGGGAATATTTCAGATACACTAAATAAGCCCACTGTAGAGATACTTGGAGCAAAGAATATCACACTGGTGGCCCTTAATTTAGCTGACAAACATTTTTTCCAACTCATAAGGCCAATCATAAATGGTAATGAATCATCCCAACAGCACAATCTCTCTCAGTATCTTCGATATCCATCAGTTCTGTGTCATCACAGTAATTCACCACAGTGAGTTCCACTACAAAGTGCACTGCTGTCCACTCAAATTTTATAAGTACCCCTCTCCCGACAATATGACTTTTCTTCAGTTCACTTTTATGGCTTCTTCTGTTCTTCTGTATCAACCACATAAAACAAGAATAGAAGCAAGTCACTTCATATTAAAAGAGTAATGCCCTCTACCATGTTCTTGACTATCTACAAGTCAAGAACTGATGGTTCTAGATTTATGCTCTCAATAATTTCATGAGTACCGTTGGTCAATTCCAGAAAGAATTTGGAACCACGATTTTACTTTCTCTGTAATAAGGGAGAAAACAAAATTATCTCTGATGTACCCAACGCCTGTAGAATTCTATGGTTCTGTAATATTAAGTATTATTCAAGTAAAGATGAAAGCATAAAGACAGAGAAACATAATACATTCTTTAAGGGATAAAAGCCACATGTACCTAGACAAATTCCCTTTTAAAATAGTTAATAAACTAGAAGACATTGAGAATGCCTTAAAATTCCTAATATAACTCATGGAGAAGTATGGAGGAGTTGTAACGTGACTGGATCAGAATACATCTGCTTCAACAACCAGATTAAAAAAACACATGGTTAGGTAATTTGTATTTATCCAGAGCAGTGTTTTCCAAATTACATTCCAAAGAACGTTATTAATTGTATAAAATAAATCATAAGGATTGCATTTAAATGGTGACTGAGCCCTTGAGGGTTATCTGCACTTAGTGGCTCATTTCCATAAAATAGAGCATAGAAAGGGAGAAATAATAATTTTACAGTGTATAAAACCCGAATAACGTGAATTATCCAGGGGACAGAAGTTGACGTTACCAAAGACGGGTCACACTGACATCAGGTACCTATCTCCCAAATGTGATGTGATGAAATGGGCTCTTCACCTCTGTGATATTTTTTTTTTCCAAAACACATAACCCCAGTCTAATCTTGAGAAGTTACATCAAGCATACCTTTTGAATACAAAATTCCTGATCATTACTCCTCATAACTGGAAAGATTATGAAAAATAAAAAAAAAACTGAGAAACACTCACAAACCAAACATAATGAAATGTAGTATGATGTCTTGAAATAGACCTTGAAACAGAAAAAATACATTAATGGAAAACTGTAGTATAAAGTCTGGAATTTAGTTAATGGTAACATACCACTAGTGTTTTCTCATATTTGACAAATGTATCATGATAATGTGATATGATAAGATTAGAGGAAACTGAAACTGGCTGAGGCAATATGGGAACCTCTCTGTATTACTTCCATAACTGTTCTGTACATCTAAAATTATTCCAAATAAACAGCTTATTTAAATAATTGATGAGAATATTCATCGGCAAATTTGTTTAGCGAACTTTGGATGAAACAACTGATCTTTCTCAGTGTCTATAATTATCATAGCTTCTGGAATATCCAATAAGCATTGTGACTGTAACAGAGAGAATATACGATGCTGTGTTTCCCAAACGTATTTGACGAGAAATCTTTATTTTTCTTCAAATAGCATAATTTAGAAAAAGTACTGACAAAGAGAAGTTTTCTCCCGATGTGTCAGATTTCTGTCCTATAGTAGACCATGATCAAATTTTAATCAGTGACTGACTGAAGAGAGAAAGACGCTATGAACACTGAATTGGCAGAAGACGTGAAACTAGAGGCCAATGTGATGGATGAGAGAATGATCATTAAAATTATATTTAACAGACTACATCAATAGACCAAACTTAACAAGGTAACTATGAAAGGATACATATACAGCCTTCTTAGGGTAAGCAAATTAAAAAAAAAAAAAACCAACTGAGTAAATAGGAGAAGCAAGAATTTAAATGCCCGTCATGTTACTGTTACAGGAGTTCTTAGGTCAAATTAGAATTGTCATTCTCAGTAAAGATGCCCTAATAGTAGTAGTAAGACCATTTCTGCAGATTGTTTGCTTGTTATTTTTTGTTTGTGTGCTTTTTAGTTCTTTGTGCTACCCTGTAAATGGTCCTCAATGAACCGTTTCCAGTGGAGAGGGAATAGGATGACGTGTGTCTTGGAAACCATGCCATAGCAAGAAACGTCGAAGAAACCGGAATGTTGCCCTGGTGCACAGAAACCTTTGCCAGAGTCCAGGCACAGTGGCTCACACCTGTAATCCCAGCATTTTGGGAAGCCGAGGCAGGTGGATCACCTGAGGGTCAGGAGTTAGAGACCAGCCTGGCCAACGTGGTAAAACCCCGTCTCTACTAAAAAGACAAAAAAGTAGCCAGGCGTGGTGGCAGGCGTCTGTAATCCCAGCTACTCAGGAGGCTGATGCAGGAGAATCACTTGAACCCCGGAGGCGAAGGTTGCAGTGAGCCAAGATGGCGCTATTGCACTCCAGCCTGGCCAACAAGGGTGAAACTCCATCTCAAAAAAAAATAGAAAAGAAAAAACACCTTTGACAGATCCTTAAGTACACAAGACTACAGGAGAATCAAGCCTATTCTATATAACTTCAGAAGTCTGAAGAAGGACTTAAGGGCAAGAAGCCACACATTTTGGTTCAAAAATACTTTTGTAACCATTAAACACCCTCATAATGGAATGGATATTCTTGAAATGAAGAGAGCTCCCTGACTCTGGGGCTGTCTAAATAGAAGCTGGACATCCCTCAGTCCAGACTGCTGCTAGAATGTCTTCTATGTGCACCTAATAAATGAGTTCTACACAGCCTTCCAGTGCTAAGGTCTCAGAATCTATCCAACCACAGGGAAGGAAAAAAATGAAGAGGCACTGAGAGAAGTCACAAACCAGTTAAAACAGCCCCTAAAGTACCTTAGGCACCACTCTACCTCTCTTCTAACCATCACCCCTAGAGTGTGCACCGAAGAGATTTCTGATTAGTATAATTTAGGTCACACTAGAGGACAGGGAAGTGATGAATTTATCTTGACAAAGTATTGTATTCACTCCAAAAGAAATCTGCCGAAATAAATAAACTCACGAACATATAAATAAGTAAATTCGTTTTTCTTTAAATCCACTATTTTTTTCTCTTAGAGAAATAAATGGCTTATATAAAGGACAATGTGTATATGGTATATATGTTTAAGGCCTGCTTCAAGGTTGCTCTCAAGCTGAGCCAGAACTATTGCGAGAAGAGTGAAAAGGATACCCAGGACACAGAAGTTTAGGCGGCAGTTACTCTTGGGGTGCTGGCAGGGTCAGCCTGTGAGAGTGAGTGCCTCTTTAAATTTGCGTCACAGACGCCTGCTGACCTCACCCCAGTCCAGGCCCTGCGATTGGTCAGGCCATCAAAGCCTCGCCCCTGCTAATCGCCGCTGCCGCCATCTTTGCTGCAGAGAGCGCCGAGGAAGACGCTGCAGACCTGCCTTCCCAACCGTATGTAGGCGAGAAGCCAGTGCTGATACTCCCACTAACCCATAATGTCCCACCAGGCCCCAGAGTGGAAGAGGGCTGAGTCTAATTCAAGCGATCTTGGGGCCAGCTGGGATGGCAGAGGCAGCAGAGGCAGGGGCTGGAGCGGCCCCTCCGGCCTTCAGGGACCTAGAGCAGCTGGCTCCCGTGAACCGCCATTGTGCTTTAAGATAAGGAGCAGTATGGTTGGTGCGGTAATTGGTCGCAGTAGATCCAAAATAAAAGCTCTAGAACGGTCAACAAACACTTTAATACACATCGTAAACGGGGCATCTGAAGCACAAGTAAACGTTTTTGGTAACAAGGAAATGAAAGAAAAGGCCAAAGCAGCCATAGAGACTCTTATTAGAAAACAGGAAAGCTACAACTCAGAATCCAGCATAACCTCCTATTGGAAGAAATGTATGCAGAAATGACAGTGTTAGAGAAGCGCGGCCATCGTTAGATTGGGATCAAATTAGGGCTAGCGGTCTGGAGAGGGAAAAGAGCAAATGGGCAGATTTACCACCAATCAAGAAAAACTTTTACATAGAATCCAAAGCAACAAGCTCCATGTCTGAAATGCAGGTGATTAACTGGAGAAAGGAAAATTACGATGTAACATGTGATGACTTGAAAAGTGGGGAAAAGCGTCTCATCCCCAAACCTGCTTGTACGTTTGAAGACGCTTTTCGGCAATACCCTGATCTTTTGAAAAGCATAACAAGGGCAGGATTCAGAAAGCCAACACCAATTCAATCCCAAGCATGGCCAATTATTCTACAAGGAATAGATCTTATAGGAGTTGCACAAACTGGAACAGGGAAAACGTTGTCCTATTTAATGCCTGGGTTTATTCATCTTGATTCTCAACCAATATCTAGAGAGCAAAGGAATGGTCCTGGGATGCTGGTTCTTACACCCACTAGAGAGTTGGCTGTTCAGGTGGAAGCTGAAAGTTCAAAGTACTCACATAAAGGTCTTAAAAGCATCTGCATATATGGTGGTCAAAACAGACAAGAACAAATAGAAGACATTAGCAAAGGTGTAGATATCATTATCGCCACTCCTGGGAGGCTGAATTACCTACAGATGAATAACTCTGTCAACCTGAGAAGCGTAACCTATTTAGTTATGGATGAGGCAGATAAAATGCTGGATATGGGATTTGAACCCGAGATAAGGAAGATTTTAATGGATGTGCGCCCAGACCGGCAGACTGTTATGACAAGTGCAACTTGGCCAGATACTGTTCATCGACTGGCACATTCTTATTTGAAAGATCCTATGATGGTTTATGTTGGTACTCTGAATCTTACGACCACAAATACAGTGAAGCAAAATATAATTGTTACCACAGAAAAAGAAAAACGAGCTTTTATCCAAGAATTCATAGAGAACCTGATGCCAAATGACAAAGTCATCTTGTTTGTCGAACAAAAATACATTGCTGATGACTTATCAAGCGACTTCAATATCCAAGGCGTATCTGCAGAAGCACTGCATGGCAACAGAGAACAGAGTGACCAAGAACGAGCATTAGAGGACTTTAAAAGTGGAAACACAAAGGTACTGATTACAACTGATTTAATAGCCAGAGGCCTTGATATTAATGATGTCACGCATGTATATAATTACGATTTCCCATGGAATATAGAAGAATATATCCACAGAGTAGGGCGCACTGGACGGGCAGGAAAGATAGGCACATCAATTACCCTCATCACTCAGAGAGATTCGAAAATGGCTAGTGAATTGGTTAAAATTCTGGAAAGGGCAAATCAGAGTGTTCCAGAAGATCTGGTACTAATGGCTGAGCAATACAAGTTTAAACAACAAAAGAGGGACACAGAGAAACCATCAAGAAAACCTGGAGAAAGACGCAAGGAGTTTTACTGATGTTTAAGTTGAAAAGTTGTACCAGGCTACTAGAAGATTCCAGGCATGTTAATGTTATGCAGTATTGAATATACATAAGGAAGTATCAGAAACATACTGGCCATTTGAAGAAACAACTAATTCTTAAATAATTCTGCTGAACTTTTAATATTGTGTCTGTTCCTTAATAAAAATAAGGCTTCCCAAATGAGAGAATGAGAGAATTTGTGAAGAAAAAGCAAATGTTATATATTGGTTAAAGTTTAATTTCTTTTTTAAAATACTTTGATTTTAGGTTTGGGGTATATGTGAAGGTTTAGTTACATAAGTGAACATGTGTCACGGGGGTTTGCTGTACATATTATTACCCAGGTATTAAGCCCAGTGCCCAATAATTATCTTTTCTGCTCCTCTCCCTCCTTCCACCCTCCCCCATAAAGTAGACACCAGTGTCTGCTGTTTCCTTGTGTTCATAAGTTCTCATCATTTAGTTCCCACTTATAAGTGAGAACATGTGGTATTTGATTTCCTGTTCCTGTGTTATTTTTGCAGTCTGCTATGTCCATTTGTCTTCTCTAAAACACTTGGTAGAAGACAACAATGATGCTTTTCTAGCTTTCAAATAGTACTAAATTGAAGCATAGCTTCATACTTATCCAGTCAAAATATTCTTTTTCCCCCCAGCAGTTGGTGCCACAACAGTTCTTAAAGTTATTTCCACTATCATTCTCCACTTTTTTTAGTTCATTAGAAAATAAATGCTAGATTTTTTTAGAAGATTCCACGATTCTATTTTTTATCAGAATGATGTCACCAACAGAGCAGGATGTCTGACTCACTGGGAATCAGTCCTTGTATGCATTTTGTCACTAACCCTTGGTTAAAATTCTGAGAAAGTTGCTTCCCTTCTCTAGGCCTCAATTTCTCCACTCATAAAATGAGATAGTTGTATTAATTAATTTAGGGGTCCCTTTCACCTCTAAAATTCTGTGATGACTAAAACTGTATACCCAGCCTTGGGTTAACACTTCCTTGTCTAATCTAGGGGAAATTGCATCCTTGTATAATAAATTGAACAAAACAGTCCTTTTCAATGACAAGAAAGTGCATTCTGCATTTTTATTGATTTTGCAATGTAACTGGTCGGTTTTCCTTTTATTCTTTGCTTTATTTTCATCAGGTTTATTTTAATTCAATTGGTCCTGGGAAGCTCAAAACCATAATGTTCACATATATCTGTGAAAAAAATTAAGGCAAAAGAAAAATTCATCTGCTGGGAAAAACATTAAAACCAATCAAATGGCATTTTTGCCATAAGAACCAATTTTAGTAAAACTCTTCCTAGTTTTCTTTATAATTCTACCTCTTATGCCTTATTTAGAAGCAATGTGCTTCTCACATCTGCAAAAAGACATCCTCACAATGATGCTAAGTAAACATTAAAATTTAGTGTTCATGAAAACATTAGAATTAGTTATTTCTGGCAAAATCGAGAAAAATTAAGGCAGCAATCTTTTTTCCTCAGCCTGCCTCAGTTGTGACTATAAATAAGTCAGAAAATATGGGAAAGAAAGAAGTAAACGCTCTAGGTATAGGTATTTAACGTTTTAAGTATGGACTTTAAAGGCTTTTTGAAATGTAGACCTCAATATCTCTTGATAAAATCAATAACAATTGTTAACATTTTTGAGTGATACATACCTGGCGCTTTATCTCACAATCTCTACTATTTGTAAGAAATCCACTCAAAAGGTAATCTTACCCGTTTTGCAGCGGATGGAGCAAAGTCAGAGGAGCTAACTTGCCTAAAGACCCTAAATCTGGTTAAAGAGAAATTAAGCTGTATTTTGACAAGGAAGTGCTTGATTCTAATATGTATATTTTTTTAATTTCAGTATAGTAATTATGTGTAAGGCAGTATGCTTATCTTGAGGTTCTGTACAAGTTCAGATTTAGTGAAATAGAAAAGTGTGTGCAAATTTAATGCAAAGGCAATCTATAGCAGAACTATCATAGAAGCTCAAATGGCTTAGGGATGTTCACTCAGAGGAGAAATGATAAATGTTAAGCAAGTTAGACTATATGTTATTTTCCAGAATTATTCTTATGGGCAATGCTATATTTGTTTTAAAAAATGCAGCAATTAAACCACTTAAGATAGGATATTTCCATAATCATGTTTAAGTAACAGTAACAAGAAAAATTATCACTCAATGTCTATGAGTAGGAAAATGAGGGATATATGTATTTCTTCTACAAAAAAAGGCTGAAAAGAAAAACTAGTGTATAGAGAAACATAAGTAGAAATAGAGCAGTGATTGTCAACCAAGGGCAATTTTGTTCTCCAGGAGACCTTTGACAATATCTGTAGACAGTATTGGTTGTTACAACTATGGATGGGCAGTGAGGTGTTACTGGCATCTAGTGGGTAGAGGGTAATCACTCTACAATCTACAGGACAGCCCCATAACAACAAATAATTATCTGGCCCAAAGCAATATTTCTGAGATGGGGCATCCCTGAGACAGCCTAAGAAAAACAACCAAAACCAACTGCCTAGTAATCAAAAAGGCACTTCAAAGAAAAAAAAATAGAGGGTTTCTAAGCTGTATCTTGTGGGTTTCGTGGAAAAAAGTATCCCTACAAGCTTACTGTCTTTGGTATGGTCTACATCACTGGTTCTCTACCAGGACCAATTTTGTCAATGTCTGGAGACAGACAGACTGGGTTGTTGTGTTAGTCCATTTTCATACTGCTATGAAGAATATCCAAGACTGGTAATTTATAAAGAAAATGAGGTGTTTGGTTTTTTTTTTTTTTTTGAAACGGAGTTTCACTCTTGTTACCCAGGCTGGAGTGCAGTGGCATGATCTCGGCTCACCGCAACCTCCACCTCCTGGGTTCAAGCAATTCTCCTACCTCAGCCTCCTGAGTAGCTGGGATTACAGGCATGCACCACCATGCCCAGCTAATTTTTTGTATTTTTAGTAGAGATGGGGTTTCACCATGTTGACCAGGATGGTCTCTATCTCTTGACCTCGTGATCCACCCACCTCGGCCTCCCAAAAGAAAATGAGGTTTAACGGATTCACAGTTCCACGTGGCTGAGGAGGCCTCACAATCATGGTGGAGGGTGAAGGAGGAGCAATGGCAAGTCGTGGTGAGCAGGCAAGAGAGCCTGTATAGGGGAACTCCCCTTTATAAAACCATCAGATCTCGTGAGACTTACTATCACAAGAACAGCACGGGAAAGACCCACCCCCACGATTCAATTGCCATCTACCAGGTCCCTTCCCTGACACATGGGAATTATGGGAACTACAATTCAAGATGAGATTTGGGTGGGGACACAGACAAAACCTTATCAGTTGTCATACCTGGTAGTGATGGTGGTGGCGTTGGTATCTCCTAGGTAGAGTCAGAGAATGCCACTAAACATCACATAATGCATAGGAGGGCTCCCTACAACAAAGAATTATCTGGTCTGAATGTGAATGTCAGTAGTGTCACAGTTGAGAAACCTTGCAATAGATTAAGCAAAAATAAAAGCACAAACCTAGTTGCAGAGAAGCCAAAAGTGGACTTTAAGAAGGAAAACAAAAAGAGGATATTCATTTGCTGTGCACTTTACAATATAAAACCCTCCATTGGCCAGGCGTGGTGGTGCACACCTGTAATCCCAGCACTTCGGGAGGTCAAGGTGGGTGGATCACCTGAGATCAGGTGTTAGAGACCAGTCTGACTAACATGGTGAAACCCCATCTCTACTAAATACAAAAAATTAGCCAGATGTGGTGGTGAGTGCCTGTAATCCCAGGTACTCAGGAGCCTGAGGCAAAAAAACCTCCACTAACTTTCCTTTATTTGGTAGAATCTGTATTTCTCAGCTGGAGTTGATTTTGCTCCCTAAGGGACATTTGGCAACGTCCGGAGACAATTTTAGTTGTCCCAGCAAGGGGCAGCATTGCTACTGGCATCTAGTGGGTGGAAGTCAGGGATAAACATCTTATAATGCACAGGACAGTACCTTACAACAATGGGTTTTTCAGTCCAGAATATATGGTGTTGAGGTCAAGAAACTGATTGGTTGCATTGATTGACCAATAAAGTTTTTGTGTAAGTAAATTGTGTTTCGGAAATTCCAAGAAATACTGAGTTCTATATACAAACTGGAACAGATGGAAAGCAAAGCACTGAATATACGTAGGAGTCAAAGTATGAGGATTCAACTGACTTCAGAGTTATTCATAAGAGTCTCAGCACAGTAACTGACATTCAGTAGGCATTCAACAAATATTGAGTCCCTTCCAAGTTTCCCTCTCCCATCGCCCACTGTATAATGCTTGTTCACTATTCTGGGTGTTGCTCAGGCTTTCCCTCCATTTGGAATGCCCTTTCTCTTTCCTCTCTGCCAAGACAAATCACCTTTACCATTCTGGGTCCAGCCAAAGTGCCACATCTTCCCAAAGTTCTTATCTACTCTCCTTCATTTCAAAACTTTTGCCGTTACAGTTCTTGTAATTTGAGAATAATGTTGACATTTATACTATCCTAGCTTGCATTCCTACAGAGACAACTTTAAAGAAATAAAATGAATTAAGAGAAATTGCACTATCAAGTATTTAAATACATTATCAAAAATACAACCGTTCAAAGAGTTTTATCCTATGTAATTAACAAATCATGAGAGAACTGTTGAGAGCTAAATCTGCATAGCAATCTAGTAGGCAACAAAGGTAGACAGTTTAAAATCAGTGAAGAAAGAGAAACCTACTCCAAACAAAATAAGTAAAATAAATAAATTAAAAATACATAATATATAGCAGGACCAAAAACTCCTCCTATTAGAAATTAATTCCCACTAGATTACTGCATTTTTAAAACACAGAAGAACATTAAGTTTATATAGAGAAAATCATTTCTGATATCAATGCAGAAAATAATTTTTATACATAAAAGCAACCACAGAAAAAGGTAAATATGAGTAGATTTGACAATGTCAAAATGAAAATCTTCTTAATGTCAAAAATGCCATCAAAGGCAAAGGAAACACCAGAAAAATAATTTAAAATATATAATATAACTATAGTTATTTATATTTTATATATGGAGCTTTTTACAAAATAAAAAATAAAAGATGAATAAATATGGGCAAAATGTTAAAGGCAACTCACTAGACAAGTGAACAACATATATATTAAAAAGTATTTGGCTTCTTTGTAATTAAATGAAAAAAATTAATTATGTAACTTTAGCAAATTGGGCTAAGATTCTTTTCTTTTCTTTTTTTTTTTTTTTTTTTGAGATGGAATCTCGTTCTGTCACCTGGGATGGAGTGTGGTGGCTCCATCTTGGTTCACTGCAACCTCCGCCTCCCAGGTTCAATCTATTCTCCTGCCTCAGCCTGCTGAGCAGCTGGGACTACAGGTGTGTGCCACCACGCCCGGCTAATTTATTGTATCTTTAGTAGAGATCGGGTTTCACCCTTTTAGCCAGGATGGTCTCCATCTCCTGACCTCGTGGTCTGCCTGCCTCAGCCTCCCAAAATGCTGGGATTACAGGTGTCAGCCACCACACCTGGCCAGATTCTTTTTAAGTATGTAAAGCTACAAAGGATGCAGGGATATAAACACTGATAAATTAAACTTTGATTTAATTATATTCTGTGAAGGGATAGTTGAGATTATATATACATAATCTGTATAAGTTTAATAGACTTTGGCTCAGTAATATTACTTCCAGAAATGTACCCCAAAGAGATAATCAGATATACATACCAATATTTATAAACAAGGCTATTTATCATGGTTTTAATTAACATGTATAATAAGAATATATAATTATTATAATTTTTTAAACCCTTGAAGCCCTATGATAGGATACTAGTTAAATTTCAGCATATCTGTTTTTGATTTGGAATAGCAGAAATCATGTTCTTAACAAATATTTTTAAATATAAGGAAAAGCAGTTTATGGAATGATATCGATTGTTTTTAAAAAACTACATTGGCCCATGTATCTATATAAACAAAAACATATGAAATGGACACACATAGATACATACACACATTAATGATAGCCATGGTTTTCTACATTATGGGAT